GAACAGCGTCACGAAAGCGTTTGTTTGCTCATAGGTCCCACTTCAGCCAGATCTTTTTTACTGTGTTCTTTTTCTGTGGCACCTTTAAAATCCACTTGGTGCTTCTCTGTGTTATGCCACTTAATGACTATCGGGTGAGGATTACATTCGGTAGCAGCGGTGTTCTGAGCACATGTTCTCAACCCCAGAGGACGAAGAAACCGAACAAGTGTGCAGGCCGTCCAGGGACGGCTCTTCAGGAGGATGGTAGCGATGTCACTGCGTCGGCGCCGCTGCCGTTCCTGTGTGGACGCGCTGACCGTCGTGTTCCCTTTTGCCAACAGGACTGTGGAAACAACCAGCTTTGACTTACTGCTAAAGACCGATGACGACTGCTACATAGACTTGGAAGCTGTGTTCAATAGGATTGCCCACAAGCATCTGGACGGGCCTAATTTTTGGTGGGGAAAGTAAGTTAAACCTTGTTAGCCCTTTGGCTTCACGTGCCTGATCAAAAGGAGTTCATTTAGAATGAAACACACAAGCAAAATGGGGCCCAGATAGGGAACCTCCGCCCCCCCCCCCCCCCCCCCCCCGCCCAGGTCCTGGTTACTGGACGTTGTCAATCTACAATTAGGGGGAAACCTGTGAAATGAAAAACTTCAGGCTAAGGTAATGAAAGAGGGGAAGACGGTGTGGCTTTTATCGTCGCGGCCTGGCAATAAGCAGTACGCACGTGAGGAGCTGCCGTACGTGGTATCTTGTTAGAAGACAGTTGTGACACGTTTCTGAAATTGCGCTGTTTCTTCAGGAACCCAGTGTGGATTCGTGATCTTTAGCCCGTGTACACACGATGCCCTGGTACTTTCAGAAACTGCACAAATGTAACGTAGAAGTTGATGCCCCAGTCTTTCACGTAACATGCCTGCTAGATAAAGAATGCCGTTCCTTAGACAAAAAAAAAAAAGTTCCTTCTTTCCTTGCTCTTACAGCTTGGTCCTTCGTAGTGGTCATAAAGGGGTCTGCCTTAATAGTGGTAGGACAGCTGTCACGCCGACACGAAGAAGCTAACTGTTTTTGACTCTCAGTTTCAGACTGAATTGGGCCGTGGACCGGACCGGCAAGTGGCAGGAGCTGGAGTACCCCAGCCCCGCATACCCAGCCTTTGCCTGCGGCTCGGGGTACGTCATCTCCAGGGACATCGTCCACTGGCTCGCCGGCAACGCGGGCAGACTCAAGACCTACCAGGTAGTTCCGGATTTCTGACCTGACGGTGTACTCTTCACACCAAGTCTCATCCAGCCCGGGATTGTGTCTCCGAGCACAGAGCCAGCGACCCCGGGGGAAGGCATGCTGTTCCTTCTGTAGATGAGTCACCCTCAGAGGTCAGGGACACAGTCCTAGCCTCCAGATCCTGGCTCTAAATTCTATTCCTAAATCTTTCTTTGAGCCTACTTACTAGGTTTTCAGACTCCATTTACAAGTGTAGTCCCTGGAGGAACGGAAAGCTTGGCATTCACAAGAAGGAAGACTATAAAGCAAGGGCTTTCTTTTTTGTTGATTCTGGCGACCGTGTCACTAAACAACCCGCCTAGCGATTGGATCCACTGTATCGTTCATAACGGCCGGTGCTGGAAGCGTGAGGCCCCCAAGAAGGGCTGACTGGCCCCTTGCTGTCTTGTGTCTCGTCGTTTCATTGTGGTGGCCGTTAATGGCCACTAGCTGTTACTCTGTGTACAAGTGTTAATACAGGCTTGGCGTGTCCTGGTAGAATAATTACAAAGCCAAGAAGTGGAAAGATGACTTATTACGGGAATGTGGGGCATCGTGTTTAGAGATGATACAGCATTTAAACTTCTGCATTTAAATTTCACGGGGCGCGTACAGGGTGAAGACGTAAGCATGGGCATCTGGATGGCAGCCATAGGACCTACTCGATACCAGGTGAGTGAGCCTGCGGGCCGGCCAGCCCTGGGGTTCGGAGGGACTGCGAGGGAGTGAGACGCTGGGCACCGCTGTCAGAGCTGTGCTCGTGATGCTCCTGATTCAATTCCCAATAATCCACCTAGGTTCTCATATTTCTCTGAGTCTAAACCAAAAAAAAAAAAGTTTTGGATGGAAGTTTTCCTACTCACAGAGAAGAATTAGGTTTTTACACGTTTGGTTAGAAATTCTTTGTAGCCTTTTAAAATGTAAGGAATCAGGGGCGCCTGGCTGGCTCAGTCAGTAGAGCGTGCAGCTCTTGATCTGGGGGTCATGAGTTTGAGCCCCATGCTGGGCATAGAGATTACTTAAAAAAAAAAAAAAAAAAAAAAACCTCAAGGAATCAGCTGGCTGAAGTTTCCAGCAGCGTGATGGTCCAAGGACCCTTCAGCCCTTCTGACTGATGCAAATAAAACACTGGATTTAAAATACCGGAAGGTGTTTTTGAAAATACACTGACCGCTGAGGCAGGGAAAGAAAGAAATGAACCTGCAGAGCCCAGAAATGGGAAGAGAGCAGGCACGAAGCTGAGCTTCGCCTCAAAGCTTTCTGTTGAATTTTGGATTCTTGCAGCTTCCACTTTGGCCACAGAAGGTGCAGGGGGCAGAGGAACATGCAGGGCCCCCTCACTTCAGGGGGGAACGGGAGTAAACCCACATCTACTGGGTCAGCTGTGACAGTCCTGTGTCCTATTGAAGTTCCAGCTTTGACTTGTTGAACACTGAAGATAATTTTCTGTGTCTGATCATGGTGATAGCTGCGTTGTTTGTGGGTCTGTGTAGACTGGTGTGTCTGCAGACTGTTGCTCATGGAGCTGTTTCCTGATGTGTTTAGAGACTTGTGTGTCTGACCTCATATTCCTGGGAAATGAAGGTAGTTAAAATGCATTCTTGCGAAGAGGATTTATGTTGTGTCTGCCTTGCACCGAAGGGCATTACCATGTCTGACTGCATTGTTGGTGAACATGACTCCTGCCAAGACCCAGCTAAGTGCAGGCTGGGCTTCCAGATGCTCAGGGCAGACCCCTTTCCATCCCACCCAGGGTCAAGGCTGAGACGCAGGTTCTGTTTTCTGAATTACACACACCCGTGCGCGCACACACTCCCCCTCCCTCCCTCTCCCCCAGGTCTGGCACCTCGTGGGCCCTGGCTCTGTGAGTCTCCTGTCCCTGGACGTGGCCTTTTCAAACCCGCGGAGCCTTCGGGGCACGTGCTGACCCCGGCCCCTTTGCCACCGGCTCAGCCATGCTTGAACAAGGCGTTTGGTTGTACGCAGCATCTTTATGTTCTCAGACCGAGTGGGCTTCTCTGGCTCTGTGTTCGGTATCTTGGAAGGAGGCTGGTGCTCAAGACTCAGGCCGAGTCCGTTTTGGTCCCTCGCGTTCACCTCACCCGCATCGGCTTCCCTTTAGGAACTTCACTGCGACCTTGGGCAGGGCACTTCACTCTCAGCTTGTCGTCTGGGAAAAGGAAAGGGGTCCTCCCGCGCAGGGTTTCTGGAGAGTTAGCTAATACTCGGTACGGCCCCCAGAACGTCGGACGACTCCGCGGGGACAGCCGCAGGGAGCTCCGTGTGCGCTGCCTGGGCTTTGTGGTCACAGAAGTCCCTCTGCTGCCTGCCGCCCTCCCCGCCGCACAGCTGGGTCTCACGCACACACACGCGCGCGCGCGCCTCCCCCCGCAACCCACGGGCTCAGCCCCACGGCTCCCGAGTCACTTCTGTGTGGTTTGTCGCCAGGACGGCCTGTGGCTGTGCGAGAAGACGTGTGAGCCGGGCATGCTGTCCTCCCCGCAGTACTCGCCGCAGGAACTGACGCAGCTGTGGCAGCTGAAGGAGCAGTGCGGGGACCCTTGTCAGTGCGAGGCGGCCGCGGGAGGGCTTTAGGCGGCGGCGCTGCAGGAGCAGGCGGAAGAGCGGCAGGGCGAGCGGTGGCTGAGCCGAAGGCCCCCAAGAGCCCGCGGGGGGCAGGGGGCACTAGACGCCGTGCTCGCCCAGGAGAGTTTACCTGTAACCAACGTGATCTTTCTAAATGTTTGCACAGAATTTCCTTTTTAAATAGCTGATCCTGTACATAACAAAAATTTTATTTCTATATTGGAAGACTTTGAAAAACACCAAATTGTTTTATAAAACAAAAAACATTTCTAAAACCTGATGTATCATTTCTAGTTTATAATTCATTACCTATCAATCACTTTTGGTTAAAATTGGCCTCATTCAGAAATCTTAGTAACTAAGAATGTGAATTCCAACCTGGATTACAGAGTGGCCCTGTAAGGCATAATTAGGGTAATTAAGGGCCAAAAACAATTCACAGAACGCTGTGTGGTCACTTATACCAAAGTTTGGGAATGGAAATGTCTGAATGAAGTGGGCAACTGGAAAAGGAGCCCATGTAATTCTCAGTTCTGGACCGTGGTTTTAAAGTTCACTTATTTATTAAGTGAGCTAATTCCAGTTTTCTTCTGCCATTTAACATAAATCCTGAAGGTCACAGTCTAGTACTATTTAAAAAAAGCTAAAATTCTGTGGCTGTAAATCAAATACCTCTCAGGGTTTTAGTGACGTAGGGACGTAGCCCAGCTAAATAGTGGGCACTTTGAAAGAATGAATTTTTTCTTTCCTCCTGTCATTGCGTAACGTTTACCTAATCTAACTGAATTCTGATCAGAGATGGAAATCTTCTGTAGAAGAATAAATGCCCCGCTTAGGTACAACTGTAGGGAAAAGCGCATAATGAATTTTTGTAAGTAAGTACTCTAAAAACTGTGATGGAGGGAAAAGATCCTAGCACACGCTGTACATAGAAGAGGTGCCTCCCTAAGTTTAAGGGACATTTCCCAAAATGACTATCCAAATCATTTTGGAAACCTTTTAAACTAGTAGTAGCTATCCATAGAGTTCCATTAAAACTGGTCCTGTGACCGACATTAACTATGTTCAGATTTCATTAGACTAGCTAGGTTCTATTTAATATTTAAATCTCCACATATTGAAATGTATAGTCACGAACTATAAATATGAAAATCAGAAAATCATTAGTAGGTGCAAAGCCTTTATTACTGCTGTTATATACAAGCCTAGAAATGGTCTCTTCCCGATGAAAAATACCACCTTTTCTATACTTAGGGCAAGGTGTACAACCTCTCTTTCTGACAGAACTGTTCCAATAAATCCTTTATTTCCGGTGCCCCCCCCAAGTCATGATGAACAGTGCAGTCCCCGAACTTTCTTAGTTCACTTTTACCATCGCACCAATAGACAATCTCCACTTTCCACAGAATAAAACTGTAATGACTGCTGGTCATTTTCTAGTTCAATCTCTCTGCCAGGCATCTACAAATAGAACAGAGGGTTGGGGTGATAAAGACAGATCCGTCCTAATACACGTGCCCCCTCCCAGAGGGATATGTCTCCCATTTAGAAGCAACCCGTGTCACATTGGGGGGACATAAGCCAAACTCTGTGTTCTGCTGGGCAGCTTACTTTGGGGCTTTCATAGGACAGCAGAAGTTCCGACACAGGAACTTTGAGAAGACGGGCCAGCAGTCCCTTCACCTTCTGAATTGTCATGGAGTCTGTCAAGGAAAGAAACACTCTCAGTTCTCTCGAATGACGTTGCGTGTACAACTAGCTCACCGGCCAAGACCCCAGTCGCAACGGTTCACGGTATCCGTTTCCCCGCGGCAATCAGTAGGGAGAGGCTCGTCCGCACCGCTGACCCGACATGTGGGAAGCTGTGGGGAACCGAGCCAGCGTCTGACCGAAGTGCCCTTTGACAGTGGCTTTTCATACCATTTCAGTGGTGTTTAATATTTCCTCCTGCATCTGAATAAACCAGAAATCATCTTCTCTGCAGAGAGGAGTACACATGAGTGAAAATCATTCACTTTCTAAACCTCTGTGATTACTCACTTATGGATGGCTGAGAGAACACTGGAGTGGGGGCTCAGGCGTCCGGAGGGCGCCTCTCCATCACTCTGCCTTGGTTTCCCCCCTCTGTAGAGCGAGGGAGGGACCGGTGGTCCACAGGCTCCCTGGGAGCGCATGCAGGGGACCTGCTTCACGAGCAGATGCTTTGGTTTGTTCAGAAAACGCTATGAACTTCTTTCCAAAGATGGGTTGTGGTAAATACTGGCTATTTTGATGAGTAATAGAGTTTCTTTGAAGCTTTAGCTGGAGGTACAGCAATAGTATGGTGTTCCTACAAATATCACATGGATTCAAATATTTTTCTATCAGAAATGATTTTTGTAAAGCTGTCTGTGTTTTTATGCGACTTGTGATAATAAATGTTCTTTATTTTAGAATAAAAACTGGCCTTGTTTATGTGTTGAATATAAACAACTGACATAATTCACAACTTGTTTTTTTGTGTGTGAATATGTGTAGATAATCTTGTCCTTTTATAAAGATTTCGGTGGACCGGCTTTCACGGTTCTGAGGGTGGCTAGTGATGGGTTAACTCCTCCCTCACAACGGAAAGGACACATTCCTAAGTCATGTCAGAAACAAAACGTCTGGTCCTACAACAATCCTGATGAGAAATCTGCCCACTCGCAGTGTCTACAGAAAAGGTGGCAATGTGCACGTAACGCCCTAAATAACGTTACCATTTCTAATGTAAACGTAACACACGACCGTCTTAACATTCAGAAAATGTAGAGATGGTTGTGCCTCCCTAGGGCCAGTGTTGAAAGTTTAACAGGGGTGTACACTTCCAGGCTTTTCTCCGGTTCTGTCAGGACAGGTGGGTCTCATAAGGTACTGACCACACGTGCTCTCTCATCCGGTCTCCATCCGTGAGGCCGGCCGGCACCTGAAGTGCGACGGGCTCAGGACGACTCAGGACTGAATTTTTTTATTTCAGTTTAATGAATTTCAATTTAAACTGCCACCCGTGGCGGCCGATACTGGCCAGTGGGGCCCCAGACTCCTGCGTTCTCGCTCATGCCACCTGATGCACAGGGCACGGTCCCACCGGAGTTCAGTCGGCCCTTTCCTTCCCCACTGGTAAGCGTTTAAGTGGTGGTGACATTTGCCATTACAAGTGCTACAAAGTATAAATTTAAAAAATGTGAATTTACTGCACTGACAAGCAAAGAAAAGTATTTTACGAGAGTCCCCTAGGGTGATACACATTTCATCTCTTCCTCAGAGGCTCACTGCTCCACACTTAAGCTGTCCGTACCACTGTCTAACCATGAATCAGGCTTTATCTGATGATTCACAGTATACTTGAAAGAGGGACTCTAATTGTAAGTTTAAGGTACATTAGATCAATCTAGTTTGTTGACACAAAAGTATTTTTGAAAAGAAACTAATTCAGTTCCAGTAACACTGATGTTTAGACAGAGTTCTGAAGTTGTTTTTCCAAAGAAAACCATTTCAGCGTGTCCATTAGAAGACCACGTCCGAGACCTTTCTGTGGGGACTCCTGACTGGTAAGGAGTAGAGCGTATGAGAAGTCACAAATATCCAAGTAATTCACAGTTCAGTTCAGCTCACCAGGACACGTTTCCTGTTTTATGAAAGGGATGGGAAGACAGACCTCAAGCCCAGTGACACAGTCTCTCTGGACCAGAGCCACAATTTGGGAACTAAACAGAGGTGGGCTCAGGAAAGGCCACGCCGCTCCAGGGCTCACGCCTTCGGCTCAAGATGTCATCGTACGCAAGGGCTTCTGGTTTAACAAGACTTTCCTAGATAAGCTGACCTGAGTACGGGAGACTTGAGCTTTTGGGGGGAATGTCGATGGATTGTGTTTCAGATCATAAAAGATTAGCGAAAACCTCTAAGCTCCAGAAGTCCACACTCCTAGGTATCTTCCTTCCAGCCAACTCATGCCTAGGCCAGTGATTCCTAAGTGTAAGGAGGCGAAAGGCCTGTTTTTCTTACCTGGCAGTTGTTTCTCTAGGACTCTCTGATCAACTTGATTAGGATATTTTACCTTCAGTGCTTGAGAGAAAAAAAAAGGAAAAAGACTTGAGGGCTACTGTAATAAGGATTTAAATCACACACACGTTACCCACAGCTGCGCCATGACCCGGCTGTCAGTACCGCCGGGCGTGGATCCTAATAAAGGAACAGGTCTTACTGATGTTGCAAATTCCTTCTATTAATTCTTCAGAGAATTAACAACAGAAAATGCTGGACCAGCATTCTGGTGCTTCCCCTCCTCCCCTCCGCCTCCTCTCCCGACAAGGCAGCTGGTGTCCCCGTGTAAGAAAAGCCACACGTTTACAAATCACAAGTCGGTGCACTTCTCGCCACGCTCCCCGTTTATAACACAATCAAATGTGCCGAAAGCCTGGGAATTGCTAAAATGATCAAGATGAGAATTCAGATACATTTGAGAATTCATTTCTTTCAAAACTGGAGTACTCTAGGTACTTACTTAAGAGAAACCAACAATCCCTACAACTGTTGGGCACCTAAGGACTCGAATACAAATAATCTGTCTTTGAGTGTGGGGTTCTTACTGAGTAGCTGGTTTTTGAGCAGAAACGGTTGTTGTGTTTGGAGCTCCCCGTCTTCAGGCGCACCGTATTCTGCGGAAGAAGCATAAACAGGGATGATGATGAACCCACGGGCACCAGAAGGAAAAATTCACGCACTGAATGGATCAGCAGAGCCTCTTCCTTCCCAGGACACGCCAAGCAGCATCTGCCCTGCTAACCTGGGATCTGTTCTCTTTTATTCGGCTACTTGTCCAGAACATTCCCTTTCCCCTTTCCCCTCCCCCAGGTGATTCAGAATTCACCTAAAGTGGCCGGGAAATTGGGCCAGCTAATGGGAGTGATTTGAAAGCAATTCCCTCAGGCAGCTTTTCTTCCTCAAAGATAATGTTCCAGCCTGAAGCGTTTGTGCGGTGAGCTGCTTGCATTAGGAAATATATTAAAAAAAAGTCACATAAAAGTGAAATGTGGAATAATGAAGTCAAAACAAAATGGGGAGTATGTCAGGGACAGAGAATCATGAAGTGCTGGCCTCAGGACCTGAGGGCCCAGGCCGGGGAAGGTAAGGAAGCACCGAGCAGGGCGAGTGCCCGAGCTGCGGGGACGGGGCGCCCTCAGCAGCACGGAGGCGAAAGGCGGAGAAAGGACCCGCTCGTCAGCACAGCGGAACTACCGGGGCAGCTGCAGGAACACCAGGGCCGGGCTTCTACCTTAACACGCTCCGCACATTTAAAATCCCCCAGGTTCCTGCCCCCCTTAAAAGGAGGAGTCCGCCGACCTCTCGGAGCGGGAAGCCCCAAAGCTCGACGAACGCGCGCAGACAGGAGGAGCTTCCCCTCAGAGCTGCTCTTCCCCTCTCCCCTCCCCCCCAGCCCCCCCCCCAACGCCAGTCTCTCCCAGCAACCCCCAGACTCCCCGGGTTCTCTGCGCCGAGGGACGCTGCTGACTCTTCCCTAAAGACACCCCCAAAAAGCCCCGAAGGAGAAAAGCAGGGGCGCCGACGGCCCCCTCCGACGCCCAGCGGCTGGAGCTGCAGGGGCAGCGCGGGGAGGGCTGCGGCCGCACGTACTAAGGCACAGCAGCTGGTATCTGGGATGCGCTCGCAGAAACTCCTCGTGGGGTCGGTTTCTGTCTGGGTCCTGATGTCCGCCGGCCTTCTTCCATTCATTTCCAAACGCCTTCCGGTAATCAAGCTCGGCCCCCCGCCTCTCCTCCGGCAGAATCTACAGGAAGGGGAATAAAACCAGGTCTGTCCAGTACTTCTCTTAACACGTGGCTCGTGTTTTGTACCCTGTCCTTCCTCCACGGCTCACCCATGGAGAATCACCACGCTGAGAGGGATGGGACTTGCAGTTCTACCTTTCCTTTCTAACAGGGACAGAATTCAGGAGTTCCCTGAAGAAGAAAACAAGAAGTGCAGTCTTAAGCCTGCGGCCGGCCTGCAGCAGCGGCTCACCACCCCCGGGGGGGGGTGGCCCGCAGGCCCCCCCCCACCCCCAGGGGCAGATTATTCCAGGCGAACAGCCAAGGCATTGCCTTGGCAATTTTATGAGCAGAGTGGCTCAGAGGGAGAGGGTAAGCTCTGTGGTTCTGTCCTCTGCCTACAATCCCCCCAAGACAAAGGAGCGAGTGCCCAGTACTCCCCGCCCCTCCTCAAGGGGCAGCCGAGCACCAGGCTTCTCCCGGACTCCTGCTGGCCCACGCCGCCCCCTGGGGAGCCCGGAAGAACCATCGCGGAGTAACGCACAGGGTAACGGTTCACCATCCGGTGGGAAACTGCACTGATTGATAACCCTTTGCCACATGCCAGTTTTTCACATTTCTTGATCACTTGTTTCCTCCTCCACCAAGCATCCGGTCCTGCTCCCAGCGCTCACCTCGCATTTGTTCAGGGTCTTCAACTGACCGATTTTGGCGATGATGAGCTGACGCGTGGTCTGTGCTTCTTTGCTCCCTTCGGTCAGGGGGTTTCTGATGCAGGACAGAGCGTGCAGACTCTGTAGCTTATCCAGCTCGTTGATAAATGGCCACTGAAACCCACCAAAAAAGAGAAGATGTGAAAATGAACATGTTTCAGGCCAATTTCTTAGAGTATGTGAACTAGCAAGAGAAAAGCAAAAGCCCCGAGGCGCCTGGGTGGCTCAGTCGTTAAGCATCTGCCTTCGGCTCAGGTCATGATCCCAGGGTCCTGGGATGGATTCCTTCATCGGGCTCCCGGCTCCGCGGGAAGCCTGCTTCTCCCTCTCCCACCCCCCCTGCTTGTGTTCCCTCTCTCGCTGTCTCTCTGTCAAATAAATAAAATCTTTAAAAGAGAAAAAAAAAAAAAAGCAAAAGCCCCTAGTTCCAATCCGAGGCACGGGATTGTCCTCATGCACCGAGCACCCCCTAGGAAGACCATGCACTTTCACTCTAGAACTGTGCCATGTAAAATGACAGTCTGCTTACTGTGACTTAAACTAATTTCTTTCTTAATACTTTTGGGTTTTCTGAGGGGAAACATCTCTTTCAATTTAAAATATTTCTTACTACATCAAAATGAAAAGCTTCTGCACAGCGAAGGAAACATCAACAAAACTAAAAGGCAACCGACAGAATGGTAGAAGATATTTGCAAATGACACATCCAATAAAGAGTTAGTATCCAAAATAAATAAGGAACTTAGCAAACTCAACACCCAAAAAAACAATTGGATTAAAAATGGGCAGAAGACGTGAACAGACATTTCTCCAAAGAAGACATCCAGATGGCCAACAGACACACGAAAAGATGCTCAACATCACTAATCACCAGAGAAATGCAAATCACAACCACAATGAGAGATCACACAGTATATGTCTATCTCACACCAGTCAGAATGGCTAAAATCAACAACACAGGAAACAGCAGGTGTTGACGAGGATGTGGAGAAAAGGGAACCCTCCTGCACTGTTGGTGGGAATGCAAACTGGTGCAGCCACTCTGGAAAACCGTATGGAGGTTCCTCAAAAAGTTGAAAATAGAGCTACCCTATGATCCAGTGATCGCACTACTGGGTCTTTACCCAAAAAATACAAAACACTAACTTGGGGATATATGCACCTCTATGTTTATAGCAGTATTACTTACAATAGCCAAACCATGGAAGCAGCGCAAATGTCCACTGATTGATGACTGAAGATGTGGAACATATATATAATGGAATATTACTCCGTCATAAAAAACCGTGAAATCTTGCCATTTGCAATAATATGGATGGAGCTAGAGGGTATTATGCTAAGCGCAGTAAGTCAATCAGAGAAAGACAAATACCCTATGATCTCACTCATGTGGAGTTTAAGAAACAAAACTAACAAAAGAAAACAAAAAACAGAGACAAACCAAAAAAATAGACTCTTCTTAACTACAGAGAACAGATGGTCACCAGAGGAGAGGTGGACGAGGGGGTGGGGGAAAGAGGGGAGGGGGTTAAGGGCACATCTATCTCGATGAGCCCTGAGTAATGTATGGAATTGCTGAATTACTATACTGTACACCTGACACAGAACACTGCACATTACACTGGAGGTAAAATTAACTTTAAAGAATATTTTAAAAATGCAATAAATATTTTGTAACGGAAGGAACCGACAAAACTGGTGAGAGTGACGACGAGGGCTCATGCGGTATGCACCTTCTGGAGAAGCCCTTACTTGTGATATCTGATTGTCATTTACTACGAGGTACTGCAAGGAAGGAAACATGGATGTTTTGTGCCCTAGAAAAAAAGGAGAACGAAGTTACACAGCAGAAGTGAAAGAAAGAGCTCAATTTATGAGGTACTGGGCAGGGGAGGGGAGCTAATGGTCTTATATACCAGTTCCAGCATCCGGAAAATGTATAGAAGAAATTCCAATGTCGGAAAGGATTAGTTGTTCTAATCTGAAATTAAAATGTTAAATTTGATTACAAAACACAATAGAAAATGTGATAGGCTATCAACTGGACTACATCTGTAATTTTTCCCCCCACACCCTAGGTTCTCATTCCACGTGAAATGCTTAGAAAAAAACCACAAAGTGCAGTTTGGGGCACGCGGAGTGGACTCTAGAATGTGTTCTGAGGGGGATTCTACAGTCACCTACCCATTCCTGGTGCCCACAGCTGTGCTACATGCTCATGGGTCTCAGAGAGGAAAGAGACATAGTCTAATTTCCCAGAGGTTAATGAACGAAGACTTTTGACATCAGCACCACGGCCAAATTATTCATTCTTCAGTTACCCAGTGCAGACGTAGACTACAGCGTATGCGTTTCACAGGGACATTCTCCACATGAATTCAAATAAAAGTGTCCCAACAGGAATCACTCAGTTTGTGAATTCCATCATCATATTTCCACTGAGAAAGCAAATATAGCATATGATCCATTCACTAAAAATTTCCTAAGCACTATTGCAACTGGCATTTTAGGAGCAAATTACCTGGGCAGATAGGCTATTAGAAGCAGCTGATTTTCATCAATTAATTGATTAGAGGAAAGGTCTAATAATTTGACCATCTGTAGAACATCAGCCGGCCTGTATGGAAAACAAAAGCATTTCAACATGAATTTAATCTCTTAATTGTTTTCAAAGATATGGCCTTAAAATACCTGCGTTTAGTGTAAAGGCCAGGGCGAGGCAGGAGGCAGGCGGAGAGCACCACACAAGGGAAACATGGGGGGGGGCCCTAGTGATGATGGAAACGTTCTGTATCTCGACTGGACCGATGGCAGGACCCTGGCCGTGATATGGTACCGCAGCTCTGCAAGATGTTACCGAGGGGGGGATCTGGCTCATGGGTACAGGGAATCTCCGGGTATTCTTTCTGGTAACTGCATGGGAATCTCAAATTATCTCAAAATAGAAAGTGTAATTGGAAACACTGCAGGGTCACCTGGGTGGCTCAGTCAGTTGTCTGACTCTTGGTTTTGGCTCAGGTCAGGATCTCAGGGTCGTGGGATCCAGCCCGGAATGGGGCTCCACGCTCAGTGCGGCGTGGTCCCTCCCCCTCTGCTCCTCCCCCACTCACCTGCTCTCCTCCCCTAATTAACAAATAAAATATTTAGAAACAAAATAAAAATAAGAACACCTGCATTTGCCTGTATAACAAATAGTTCCGTACAGTAAAATCTCATTAACTTGAATCGTTCAATGAGAATTTGTTGTAAATTTGCCATGTTTAGTTTTAGTAATAATTTAATGATAATCTACAAAAGAGAAAGACAACTTATTTAATTTACTTAAGGAGAACAAGCTTTTACATATACTTTGGTACACCAACCTTAAGCAGATAATGCTAACTAAAATGTATTATTTGAAAAAATAATAAAATAATTGGGGCGCCTGGGTGGCTCAGTCGTTAAGCGTCTGCCTTCGGCTCAGGTCATGATCCCGGGGTCCTGGGATCGAGCCCCGCATCGGGCTCCCTGCTCCGCGGGAAGCCTGCTTCTCCCTCCCCCACTCCCCCTGCTTGTGTTCCCTCTCTCGCTGTGTCTCTGTCAAATAAATAAATAAAATCTTTTAAAAAATAAAAATAATAAAATAACTAAAATGCATTCTTTGAGCCTTATAAAGCATCTCCTAAAGAAGCTCCATTTAGAAATAGAAGTTAAATATATTTCTGTGAAACTAATAAAATTCTTGTCTTCAAATATATTTAACTCAAGGCTCTCTCTCTGATGGGCTTTTCCTCAATTAGAACCAATAATCAGTTGGCATCCTACTTTGTGAAGAATAAGCATGTTTCTTAATTCTTATTGGCAAATCCTTTAAAAAATCAGTGTGAGGCAGCATTGAGACCATTTATGTATTCAGACTAGATGGTGACACATGCACATAAGTAAACCCTTGTTACCTTTCTGAAATGAAAAGATCATTAGACTTGAGGTACAGCTCCTCAAGGACTGGCCATCCAGAGGCACACCGGAGCACCTAGTGCATGGGTGACAAAGTATTTCAATGACACAGGAGCGTGTATAGAGTCTGGCAGCTGTGAAGGCATCCTCCGGGGAGGTCCTGAACTGTACGAGGACCTAAAAAGCAGACACGCAGACGGGCACCGCGCACACTCTCATGTGACACGGTTTGCCTCAGCGAAGGAAGGAACTTGATGTTAAACACGGTTGCTCAGTTCTTAATGCCACCCCGGGTGTGTAAAGGATACACTCATCAGACGGCGTTTCCTAACAACTATTTCTATATTTTTCTCACTTGAACTTCACCATCTCTAGCACCTGAATTTCTATGTGCCCTGCCTGTTCTCACGCTAAATCTAAACCCACCACCGACGAAGGAGCGCTAGGGCACACGCGCACCAGGAAAGGTGACTTGTCTCTAAGGGCGGCGCCTCAGTGGCATTTCACAGATGAAGGACTTTGCTGGGGAGGTACTAAGCTACAAAAATGGAATATTCTGGGCGTGTGAGGTCAGTTCACCTCTGATAGAAAATAGCAGTGCCAGATAGAAGTTCCAAATGCTGCCGGGCGAAGCAGCCACGAGTCCACTTTTGAACCCAGCTGTACACGAGGAACAGTGGACTCCAGGAGCCCAACTTTAAACAAGAAAAGGATGCGAGAATCTTCTGGCAGCTCTGCCTCGGAGCACTTGCGGGAAAACTCGGTGAGCTGAAGTCTCCATCAACAGCTAACTCGAGGGCTCTTTAAGTTCAGCGTATGCTAACTGCACCTCGCTATGGAGTGCCACCGTCCAGAAAGACACCCCAGAACAATCCAGAAGGAGCCGAGAGAGAAAAATCCCAATCCCAAAATATAAAATTCTACTTCACTACAATGATTCTGTAACTCCATTCTGTGAGGCAGTTTAAAGAATCCTGTTATTTGGATACTAGGATGATTAAAATCAAGTCACAGTCGATCTTAAATTTCTTATTTCTGGGTAATAAACCAAAGAAATAGGATTACCTCTGCCCATGTTATTCCTGTTCGGTTAAGGACTAAAACCTTCAGTGCAGGAAATGTTCCGGTTCGAGACGATGAACCCGAGGGAAAGCGGAGTTTATTCTCACTGTGTAGACAAAGAAGTCACAATGTGTTGATTCGCTGCTCCCAGGAGGCCCGAGTGAAAGTCTCCAAAAGCAGCAATTTGGGATTTAATATGAGGAGTTTTCGACCTTGAAGTGAAATTAATTCAAAACCAAGGAGTCCAGGCTACCTCATTTTTAGTATTTGCGATACACAACTTTTTGGTATCTGGCGTGCACAGATGTTCTCGGAGGACCGAGGCAGCTGGCTGAGCGTAAGGCTCAGGCGTTAGGAGGGTCAGCGTCCAGCTCACAAGGCTCTGGACCCCGCAGAATTCGGCGCCCTCTCACGTGTCCTGCTGATATGCTGCCCCGGGGCTACAATCCTGCTCCTCCAGAGTCTCTAAACCACTGTCTTGCTATCAGGGTGGACAAAATCAATCACTGCCTTCTCGATGCTCTCTTGTGATCCTCCTCTCAGGAAGTGCTCAATCCTGAGTCATTGTGAAGGAAGGTACCATGAAAACACATGAGCCCCTATTTCCAGAAGAGGAGGCGCCAGGGGTCAAAGGACACCTTTTGCCCTATTTGGAGCCCGACTCTCCGCTCCGCCTGAACCTGCCTGAGCCAGGTGCAGCCCACCTGTCCATGCGAGGCTGGCTCGGGTACTTTCATACTTTCGGCCTGGCTGAGGCCTCGGGGAATCAGGTTCTAAGACTGAAACTAACCAAGGGTTTGAAGAGGCCTGGAAAACGGTGCCATCAGTGAAACACGCAGATTGGTGGACAATCCTTATCAGAACTGAAGGAAACAGCACTCCAAAAAAGTGCTCATTCCTACGGCAATTAAGTGCCAGAGGCTTCAGGGTGAATAAGCACTTCTCACAGCACCTCTCCCGCTTCCCACTTAAATATCAACTCCCCCAGAAGGCCCAGCCTTCGTGGTTAGGCTCACAAGAGACACAAAGATCTCCCAGCTCAACAGGCCAACCCACCCCCAGCCAACCAAAAGTAAAAGACCCCCCCTTCCCCCCGCCCCCCAGAAAGGGGCACCTAGCTAGCTCAGTCAATAGAGCCCGTGACTCTCCATCTTGAGGTTGTGACTTCGAGCCCCACTTTGGGGTGGAGAGCTTAAAAACAAATAAGTAAAGGGACACTTGGGTGGTTCAGTTCAGTGTCCACGTGTTGTGATGAGCACTGGGTGTTCTACGCAACTGATGAATCATTGCACACATCAAAAACTAATGGGGACGCCTGGGTGGCTCAGATGGTTGGGCGTCTGCCTTTGGCTCAGGTCATGATCCCGGGGTCCTGGGATCGAGCACCACATCGGGCTCCTGGCTCAGAGGGGAGCCTGCTTCTCCCTCTGCCTCTGCCTCCCCCCCTGCTTGTGCTCTATCTCTGTGTCTCAAATGAATAAATAAAATCTTAAAAAAAAAAAACTAATGATGTACTATATACTGGCTAACTGAACATAATAAAAAATAAATTAAAAAAAAGTTTCCAATTCTTGATTTAGGCTCAGGTCATCATCTCAGGGTCGTGGGATCCAGTCCCAAGTTTGCGCCTCACTGGGTGTGGAACCTGCTTAAGATCCTCCCTCCCTCTACCCCTCCCCAAACTCGAGTGCACTCAAAAGAAAAAAGAAGAAATTAAGTGTAAATACCACTAAGCCATCTCCCCCTCATTCCCACAGAGATGCCGTGAGGGAAGGAGGAGAGGTCAGGGGTGACAAAATGGATGCCCAAGAGTTCATACCTGAGATTAAGAACTTCCAGGTGTTTGAGCTGATCAGCAATATCTAGGACTTCATCCCACGAGGACAACAGGTTTCTTGACAAATCTACTTTTCTGATATCTCAAAGCACACATTAAGGAAGAGTAATGCAGAAAGATTCACGCAAGACAGAACAGTCGTCCTGATGGACAGCTGCTCACCGTGGTCCCTGTGATTTCCCTCATCCTGGGAGTCGGGCTCTACACTGCTGCCCCTCCTGACTGGACTTTCCCCCAGAGGCTTACTACTGTCACTGCTTTTTGGGTGTCCCTAGGGTGTACTGCTGCACTTGTCCATGGGTTTCATCTGCTGATGGGTTAGCCGCGATGGCTCCCTCTACCTAAGGTCAAAGATCCCACTTTTACTGGCCAAAAAAAAAAAAAGAACAGCCGTCACCTCTGAATTCTGGAGCACGGATCTTTAACATTTTTAAGTCACCCAGCTCTTCATTTAGAAATGAAAACGTTCACTGTCATCTGCTGCAGACTTGAGACAAACATCTACAATCAAGTAAGAACCAAATGTCCTACCCAGTGCCAAACCATTCTTGCAGTATCCAACAAAAAGAGAAAAGAAGAACGATGGTGAGTTTGCTTTATTAAGCGCCTACGGTGCACGCACGGGCCTCGACCCGGGCACTCCTTCCAGTGGCGGCCTCACGGTCACGCACGCACCTTCTGTGGCGCATCATTCTCTGCACCACGGGAAGCCCCAAGTCACTAGCGGCACTTCCAGAGCGGACGATGGGGGTAAGCGTGGACAAAGGTTCTAAGTGCTAAGAATGATTTGGGAATTCAGAGAAGGAGAAACCAGCAGGACAGAGAGAAAAAGGCACCCGAGCTGAGTGTCTCAGGGCAGTGTGGTGCCACCAAGAGGGGGTGCAGCTCAGAACCCCCCGGGCAGAGAGATGGAAGAGAAGCCTGGGGCAGGACTGGAGCCGCTAAAGGAGGATCTTACACATGACTCTGCTATGCTGGGAAACCAGTCATTCTTCTGTCCCACGACTGCCGGGGGGCCAGGAGCAGAGCAGCGAACTCAACAGTCACAGTCGGGGAGACGGCGATAAGCACGTGCCGCTGCAGTATGCCACGTACAGACACAGGCTCAGAGAAGAAGCCGAGGATGCAGGAAGGGGGTGTGTGGGTACATTACATACGCTGGTCGTGGAAGACTGTCTTCGCTGTGAAGGTGCCATCTGAGCAGAGAACCACAGGAAATGAGGAAACGCCATCTGGGAGAAGAGCATCCGGGCAGAGAGAACGAGACAAGCAAAGGCCCTGAGGTTAGAACGGGTTTAGGTAAAGGGAGTGGGAGGTGCTGGAAATGAGGGCACAAAGGCTGCAGGGGCCAAGGCCACGCCACAAAGGGTCTTGCAGGCCACTGCGAAGTCTGGACCACAGGGTTTGTTAGCAAGGGTAGGGGTCCAGTCCAGTAATCCTTCACTGACTCATACTCTCCACCGTGGAGGCTCAGATTATAAACACACCTGCTAGTCTATCCAGAGCACACAGACCGCCTGCACTCTGAAATCAGCTCTAAACAACTGGCAGTTGTCACGAGTGCCCCTCACATGCATGCACGCACAGGCCAAGCGGCTCCGGGCGCTACACGGTCCCGCCTCTGGTGCAGAGCCAGCTAGCAGAGCAGGAGGCAGCTCATCCCCCCTCCGGGGGAGCTTCCCAGCTCGGCAAGCTCAAGGCTCCCGCGGCTTGACGTCCCGGCGGAGGGAGTGACCTCAAGGGGGCCACCCGAAAGGGACAACTGGATTAGACACAGACACTACTTCTGCTTCAGGCAAGAACTCAATCAGCAACTGGAAGACATTCATCACTGTACCTGCAAATATCAGCCGTCACTTGATCATCTCACGAAACCGCATTTCTTCAAGACTTGGGGGACGTTTTCCCCAGGAAAGGACAGCATCGGCAAGCAAGATGCGGGCTCCCCAGGACCCTGCTGACAACTCTGAGCAACCAAACCCACCTACTGGCCACATCTCTGATACGCTGAAAATACGTCTTGAACCACCCAATTCCCAGTCTTCTGAAATCATTCAGTAGCCGGCTGGGCAGATCACAGAACGTTCCAGACACCACCGTGGCATCCTGCTCCTTACCAAACTACACGATCGGCTTCGCTTCCCCTAACCACGGAGGATGGGACTGCGCTGGCCCAGCTCGCTGGGGCCCATGGAGGGGCTGCTCACGGGCAAGGTGACGAAGTCCCGACTGAGGGCGTCAACCCCGCAGACACACTGGCTGAGGAGCTCTGCTCTAATTTCTGTCACCACAAAGCATGCACCACAGGGATAGCTAGAAACAGCTGGCTAAAGACGGCTGCCCATTTGCCATCTCTTCCCTTGGAGAACATGGATTATAAACTATCTTTGGCATAAACTATTACACAGAGATTAGGCAGGCTTAAAGAACTGCGAGAAAACCTTTGAAAGTTCGAGAAAGTTTCTTTCATTTGCCAGGGAGATTTTTCTTTTAAACTTACCTCCTATGTTTTTAGTTGTGGACATGAAAGAATATAGGGCAAACACAAACAGAAACCACTTCTACAAGAAGGTAGAGAAAAGAGATTACAAGTTTTGGAAGGGCCTGTTTTGAGCTCCTGTGACAAACAGCACCAGCGGTACGAAACAGGAGAGTATTTTGCGCGCTCACAGGAAGGCAGTCCAGGAGGGCTGGTGCGGGGGCCCCGGGGTGCCGGTGAGGACTTTGCCTCCTCTCGCCCTGTCCACACTGGACGCTCTGCACACAAGATGGCTGTCAGGCCCCAGGCACTCTGTGCGCGCTCAGGAGCAGGGTAACGGCTTGGGGCAGAAGGCAGACGCCAGCCACGTGTGTCCCCATGTGAGGAGCCCTGTCCAGACACTTCTGCTTCACATTTCCTTGGCTGGGGGGGAGTCACAAGGCCTCACCTGAAGGCAGAAGGGTCCGGGAAGGTGAGTAATTTCCCGGGGTGGCGACTGGCCCCGGGAAGATGCAGATGCCCTGAGGAAGAAAGTGAGGGAGAACAGACACCGGTGGGCTACTGGCCGTGTCCAGCACGAGCGTCAAGTTCAAAGTCAGGTTTGCAGTGAAAAGGATACTAGGACATGCTTTGGCAATTGTTCCTCTGTCACCGGCACAATTCACTGCACAGTTCCTCAGAGAAATTTCTTGCAACTTGCTCAGCTGACTGCATGAAAAACATATAGTTCACACGTATGCACAAACATGTACACGGCCACTGGCCCTTTAAAAAGTTAAAAGGCATTTCATATAAGAAGTTACCAAAGATAACCAGTACTGGTACCCACCAGCCAGTTTCAGAAATAAAGCTTTACTGAAAGAGACGAAAAAGAAAGCGTTACACACACTACAAATATAACCGAAGTCCTTTGTGCCCCATTCCAGGATATTCCTTCCCGCTCTGCTCCCCCGCACTGGGTGCTTGTTTAAATTTAAGCATTTAATAGTTTTACTACACATTTCCATATCCCTAAACAACCATAGCATTTTATCTATAATGAAACTTGATATAATGCGGTACCCTGCTGTATCTATCCTCCCCCAAGCTACTTCGCCCAACGGTATATTGTTCAGCAGTGAGATTCAGCTACGTCAACCCATGTGCTCTAGAGCATCTGTTTTCACATCTGAGAGACCACAATTACTTTATTTACTCCTCCGCTGACATTTAGATTATTCCCAGCAGGGCTGAAGTAAACACTCTCGTATGTTTCTCGCACTCACATGTGAGAGTCTCTCTAGGGTTGTATCCTGGAGGGCGTGCCGATCTTCAGCTTTACTAGACAATCTCAGAAGCCATGTTTTAAGCGTAGAGGATCTGCATGAATCCCAATCCCACCGCTTCCTTGGGCTTTAGGGGCGTTAGAATCTCTGTGCCTCGGATTCCACAGTTTTAAAATGCTGTGGTTTACGCACTTGTTCAAGCAGCATTACCGCTGGCGCCCAAGGCGGGGGGAACAGCCCAGATGTCCATCGATAGATGAATGGATAAACTAAGTGTGGTATGTCCATCCAATGGACTATTACCCAGCCTTAGAAAGGAAGGAAATGCTGACATACAACACAACGTGGGTAAACTTGAGGACATTATGCGAAGGCACAGAAGCCAGTCACAAAAGTAGGATTCCACTTATGTGAGGTCCCTAGAGGAGTCAACTTCACAGAGACAGAAAGTAGCAGGGTGGCTGCCGGGGGCTGCTGTTGGAGTGGGACAGAGTTTCATTTTGAGAAAGTTCGGGAGATGGACGGTTGAGGATGGCTGCACAACACTGTGAACGTACTTAGCGCTACCAAACTATACACTTAAAAATGGTTAAGGTGGTAAATTCTGTATTGTGCTTTTTACAATTTTTTAAATGCTATAATTTAGTACTGGTGAAATCTCAATACTGCCTGACATAAGTTTTTATAAGTATTTATAAAAGCTTGTAAGTATTTGTATAAATAAATAAATAAATAAATAAATAAATAAATAAATAAATAAAAAACTGACCACCTTTGGGGGAAACACTCCAAACAAAATGCCAGGCATGTGCTATTACAGTCACGAGAAACTGGGGGAAAGGCAGCAACAAAGGTCTAGGGCAGAGGCTCCCAAACTGGCTCAAGTTCACTGTGCCCTTGGTGTTTTCAATCGTTTTTTCAGTGTGCCCGTAAGTCAAAACAAAACAAAACACACCGCAGTTTACATTTAGTAAGTAGTTAGGGCCACACAATGTAATAATTATGTGTGTCCTTCAAACTGAGTGTCAATTGGGCCCAGCACAACTTCCCAAATCCTGGAATCAGACTGGATATCGCTACCTTCATTTCTTGTATCACGACGCTTTTCAGGAGATACTTGCTTTTTATCACAGGAACACCAAAAACCCAGCTTTGCAAGCATGGGACACCAATAAAAGGATTTGTAGGGTTATCACAAAACTGAACAACCTCAAGCTAATAGTTTGCTCCGTGTCCAACAGAGGCCACTGTTTCCCTCTAAAATTAAAAATATACCGCTGTGCCTGCTGAGTTGGCTGCAGTGCCCAGGGAAACCTTGCCACTGAGCTTAGGAACCCGGTTCTCAGCACAGACCTCACTCCAGAGCCAAAGCCGTCTCCAAGAGAAGTCATACATACTGGTTTTTATTGGGGTTTTTAAAATTCCGTTTCCATAAGTCTTAGTGGTGCAAACTCAGAGCTGGTCAGCTGGATATCATTAAGGAGATACCATGATGGCTTCAAGTGGAGGATTCTTTCACTCCTTAACACTGGTGACCAGTATTCACCCACAGTCTCCCGTGTTAGCCACAGCAGGTCTAACAGCTTAGGTATTGTTTCGTAAAGGAGGAGACTCAGGCTTAGAACTTAGAAGGTGTCAGAGCTAGAAGGTGGCTTAGCTAACATCTGAACATAGCGCTGACTCCAACACTGGGTCAGTTCCAAGGGAAACACTAGCTAACTATGGAATGCCATGATACTCCAGTAGTTGGGTCATGCACCAAAAGAATTCATGAGTTATACAGTCGTTCATAAGTTAGGGGAGGAAAATGTGTTTGCAATTTTCACAGAGCCATGGTATTCAGATTAACCAGTAAGAAAAAATGTGCTGCTTTTGGGGTAAAAGATGTTTCAATGTTTGCACCTTTTTTCCCCCCAATAGTTGCATTTTAAATGGGAAGATGAAGCAAAGAACTCCAACCCGATAAGGCACATAGTTCTTTAAATCCAAGTAAACCAGTAGGATCAATAGCAAAAGGATCCATGAAAATTATCTCTTGGTGGTAGCATGAGTCACGACTTCCTTTTGTTCAATTTCTATTTTCTTAATTCTCAACAGTGAGTGTAAGCTGCTTTGTAATTAACGGTCAAGTTTGTTTGTTTGTTTGTTTTTAATCTCGATTTACTCTGAGTTTTCCTCCTTCACATATTTTTTATTGAAAAAAATCCCATATAGGAAGAGTATATGCATTAGCCTACATCAGTATGCATCTCAGTGATTTTAAATAAATACGCATAGGTTACCATCACCCAGATCAAGAGACACATCCCTGGAACTCGGGGAGTCCTCCTTGTGCCCCTGACCCTTGCTTCCTCCCCTCAAAACCACCTAGCCTGACTTCTAACACTATTGATCAGTTGTGGCTGTTGTTGACCTTCATACAGACAGAATCATTCAAGGTGTACTTCCTTGGGCTGGACGCTATGTTAATGAGGTTTCACCCATACTGTTGCAGCGAGCAGTAATTTTTGCTCACATTCACTGCCACTGAATGAATACAGCATAATTTATTTATCCATTCTATGTTTATAGGTATTTGGATGGTTCCTCTGAGTTTTTTGTTATCGTTGCTAAGGCTGGTCACCTATGCTAAAAAGCAGAGGTATCCAGAAATGAATTTATTCTTCAACACGGTCACCATGCGCACTTTACATCTGGTGTCATGTTAAGTCTTCACAATAACGGCAAATAAGATAGCAAATAAATGGACTTAAACAAAACCACAGTTTATTTTACTTGAGAGGCAGAGAAAGTAAAAGACGCCAAGTGGCTACAAATGTACTCTCCATTGTGGCCACCAGGGGGCACTACTAGGCCACCCTGTCCGGGTCCGGGTCAAACACCACTGCACTGACCGTCATCTGGAAGGTTCTTGTGCAGTTGTGTTTTTGTGGAACATCAGCTTCTACTCACTGTGATTCAGCCTGTGCATCGGAGTGGGCAGAAGGCCTCTTCACAGAACCAGTGTACAGAGAGTTTCAGAGAACAGAATGTTTGCACTCAGCAGCTTTATAAGGCATTATTTAGTGTCCCTCAAACTGCTACATAATAATTTGGGGTACCTCTTAAAAGCAAGAGCCCATGGTATTCTGATCCAGGTCTAGGATGGGGCCCAGGATTCTGCAATTTCACAAGCACCCCAGGGAAGAAAGGGTGTGCGTCCAGAGATGGAAATCAACTCGGTTCTAGATGGGCCCAGCATGCCACATGGCAGGTAACAACTTAGAGCTCTGTTTCCCCTTCTGACTTATCACCCTGCTAGAAATGTCACCATGAAATAGAAAAGGACCAAAATGTCAATCTCAGTTACTTATTAGACAGAATGGCTGGTATAAATATTAGTGACGGGCAAACTCATGTTTTAATTCCAATCCAGAAAAGCCTAACAACCCTACGCTAAATTAAGAATTTTAATTTCCCCGAAGACTCAGTCCTCGGATTCCTCTGATTTCAATCTGCTGTTTGTGCAGGAAGGACAGACCAACTTGGAGGCAAAGTTTTGAGTATCTACATACAGTCCGCTGAACTTCAATTCTGAACAGTGATGAAACTGTCAAAGTCAGTTCTGCCATCAAGCCTACGTACCTTTGCTGTTTTATAATAGAGTCAAACCCAATAGCTTCCACAGGTTTCTTTCCAATTATAACGATTTGCTCATTTACATCTTCCTCTGGTCCATCTTCTAACACATAGCGATTCTTCACTGCAGTGAGAAAGTCCACTCCAAAATTTACTTTGTTGGGACGAATAAAGGATCCTCCTGTTGGGTGCCTGGAAAAAAAGAGAAATAGAACAGATAAAATATCATCAATGGGGACATTTAAATAAGATGACACATTCAAGGGGCGCCTGGGTGGCTGAGTCGGTTAAGCATCTGATTTGATTTCGGCTCACATCGTGGTCTCAGGGGTGTGAGATGGAGCCCCGCGTCAGGGAGTCGGCGTGAGAATTCTCTCTCTCTCTCCCCCCCTCTTCCTCTGCCCCTCCGCCAGCTCGAACACACACTCTCTCTCTCCCTCTAAAATAAATAAATCTTAAAAAAATGTTTTTTAAATGACACATTCGAAAATCCTTTAGAAACTGTCAGTCTGCCACGAATGTAAAATATCTACATTTACAAATCTGTTTATAAATATAGTAGCAAAAAAAAGCAATTACAAATTTTTTAAAGGTTTTATTTTTATGTAATCTCCACACCCAATGTGGGGCTTGAACCTATAACCCTGAGCTCAAGAGTTGCACTCTACTGACTGAGCCAGCCAGGTGCCCCAGCAATCACACAATTTTAAAAAATAAAGAAAAAGAAATTATCATCCACCAGAATGGCTATGTTCTGAAGGTGTGCAAAATTTTCTCTATGCTGAAAAGTCAAAATCAGCATAAAAGGGAAAGTAATATACAAACGTATAATCGATATGACTGATCAAAAAGGGTTGTGAACTTATACAAGCGTAATAAGTCCCAACAGATAAACAGACAAGAAATATGGGACAATTCACATAATAGGAAACAGAAGTATTAAATCCACAGGGGAAAGTTTTACCTTGCTCATGATTAAGAAATGCAAATTCAAATAATGAAACTCTTTTCAACAAAACTGGCAAAAATAAAGAAAAATCCTTACACCTCAAAGATTGCAAGGCCGGGTTTGGTTTTGATTGTATAATCATACTCCTGAGACCTTGTCAGCAGGCAATAATTTAGAAATAAAAACAAAATTGCATTTACAAAGATTCTGTATAATAGCATTTATTTGTAACTGAGAAACTCTGGAAACCATAAAAAAGCCCAGCTGGATAGGAGCTATTAAGTAGACCAGACAGATGTAGTCATTAAAAATTCTAGCTGTAACACTTAATAAAATTACTCACAAAATAATGTTGAGATTTCTAAACACTGAACCAAATTGTACATGACACAGCTACAGAGGAATCACATCTACAAAGATTGAATGACACAAAGATGAAAACATTGTGGGGAACAGACTTAGGTACAAAATCTGAAAAGTAACAAACTTGAACTAAATACATTTTAAAAGATTAAATATGGCTCCGTTGGTTAAACTTCTGCCTTCAGCTCAGGTCATAATCCCAGGGTCCTGGGATCGAACCCCGGATTGGGCTCCCTGCTCAGCTGGGAGTCTGCTTCTCCCTCTCCTGCCCCTCCCCCGGCTTGTGCTCACTCACTCACTCTCTCTCTCTCCCCCTCTGTCAAATAAATAAATAAAATCTTAAAAAAATAAAAGGCTAAATATGGGGCTAAAAGAGAGAATGTGGGAAGAATTCTACAGAAATATAGGATATTTCACCACAATTTCTATTCGGGTTTTAGAGCAATTTTTAGTAGATTTAATATTAAGACTAATCATTACTGTATGTAATGACCACTTTGTCAGGCTTTTCAAGAGATTCAAAATGGGTCTCTGGACCCCTTAAATTTCAGGCTTCAGCATTACATCATGGCAATGAGACCTTATTTTCAGGATGATCTAAGTAACCACTATAAAGCAGTCATAAATGTTATTATCATTTGATCACTTAGGAGAATGATGAAATACATATATTGCCAAAAATTATAAACACTATTTCAGCTCATAACCTTTGACTCTTAAAGAAATCAAAGCTAGCTAGAAGTCACCATAAGTAAAAAGGATGAAAACTCAGATTGATAAATTTCATCCATATAAACACACACTTTTCTAAAGTGGGTCCACAGAGATGACCAGAGTGTAAAAGGGGCTTGTGATCCCCAAAAGTTAGAAGTGATGCCACGGGTAAGCAGAAATGGCCCAGAGGTCGTTGGAACCCCAGTGTGCAGTCCTGGAAGCCAGTGAAGAAAGTGGACAACCAGCTCCAGCGTTAGGGAAGGGTGCAAGGTGACAGCTGAGGCTGGCCACCGAACCTAGCGCCTGCAAGTTAACCGTGGTAGAAGCCGTGGGGCAGCGGCCCGGAGGGTGAGTTCCAGACACTGAGAGGACAGGGGGCCCTGGCTACTCTCGCCCCAAGGGGCTTTACTGCAAAGGGGAGAAGAGCATAGGGCAACAGCTGCAGGAACACAGGGTATCTATCAGAAGAGGCAATGTCTGATGATGGGTGGGCATATCAGATCTGTGTGCTGCTGAGAATAATCCAGTGGGGAGGAGAGAACTGATGATGCAGGAAATTAAATTCTATGTTGCATTAAAATCAAGTTCTGAGTCTGTACAGTATGTTTTGATATCAGAGGATCACAGACTACCCGAAGCTTCCAAGAAAATGTTACATTTTAACCCTAGGAAAGGTTCATGTTGTAAAAAACAATTCTGGGAGCGCCTGGGTGGCTCAGTTGGTAAAACTTCTGCCTTGGGCTCAGATCATGATCTCAGGGTCCTAGGACAGAGCCCTGTTAGAGCTCTGCACTCAGCGGGGAGCCTGCTTCTCCCTCTCCCTCTGCCCCTCCCCTTCTGCTCCTCCTCCCCCTCTCAGGCATGCTTGCTCTCAGATAAAGTATTTTTAAAAGATTTTATTTATTTACTTGTGTGTGTGTGTGTGTGTGTGTGTGTGAGAGAGAGAGAGAGAGAGCATGAGCAGGGAGAGGGGGGCAGAAGGAGAGGGAGAAGCAGACTCCCCGCTGAGCAAGGAGCCCGATGCAGGACTCAATCCCAGGGCCCTGGGATCATGACCTGAGCTGAAGGCAGATGCTTAACTGACTGAGCCACACAGGCGCCCCTAAATAAAATCTTAAAAAAAAAAAAAACAACAGTGCTGTTTTAAGAAGCACAGTTATGCTACTCAGCTAAAGAGATCAAATACGGCCAGCATCATTTTTTTAAGAGTTCAAAGGGATCTACTTCAGAGATCATCTAGGTTAGGACTTCATAAACATAACCTAACCTTCTAAACATAACATCTAAACATAACCAGAAAGTTCTCTGAAAATCTTACCAGATCCTAGGAATCTGCTTGTTTAGAACAGTGCTCCAGGGCATTCTGACATCGGTGGGCCTCATGTCCCACCTTAAGAAACTCTCATCTAATCCAGCCCTATTTCAGTTGGGGAAACTGGGGTCCACTGTTAGAGGTATCACAGCCATGACCAAAAACCTTGGATTTCTAACGACTAGTGTACTATCCGTTCCCACATTTCTGTCCGGGCTTACAGATACAAATCAATGCTTTATTTTGGTAAATTAAACACATTCCCTAAGTTAAATTTCAAATCAACATGTATCTTCCCTTTTTTTTTTTTAATTTTTATTTAAGCAATCTCTACACCCAATGTGGGGCTCAAACTTACGACCCCAAGATCAAGTCACCACACTCTTCCGACTGAGCCAGCCAGGCGCCCTGACAGATACGTTCCTAAGATGGGAGGCAGAAGCAGGATGGGGGTGGTACAGCTTTGGAGTCGGACAAGCCTGGGATCCCTCTGGGCTCCATTACATACTGGCTATACGACCTCGGGGAGGCGGTTTTATGTTCTCAGCCTGAGTCTCCTAATCTATCAAGCCCTATCAAATGAGGTTATTTATAAGGACTAAATAAGCCATAAACCATCACTGTATTGCCTAGCATAAGCTTTTCTATACACACACATCAATGCAGCAGTCCTTTCCAAACAGTATTGTATCTAATATACCATTAAACATAAGCCAACATCTTCTGAAATACTGGGATATTGCAGAAGCCACACTCTCTACACTCAAGCAGGGGTTGCCAAATGTGCTCAGTTGGGCTCCTATGGTGTCTAATATCAATGACATCATGACATAACAACTTCACCGTATGGACTATGTACGGTTTTGCTAGGAAAAACTACAGTTACTAACATATGCAAGATAAAGGTCTTACGCAACCTCAGGCAAAGTTGTTCTCCACTGCTACGTAAAAACTGCCCCAAAGCATAGTGGCTTAAAACAATGGTCTGCTATTTCTTGTAATTCTGTGGGTTAGCTTGGCTCAGCTGAGCTGCCCTTGTTTCTCATGGGGTCAGGTGACACGATCCAGGTGACTGCACTCAGCTGGGAGTCAGCTGAGGCTTTAACAATCCAAGATGGTTCCAGTGAGATGACTGGCACCTGAGCTAAATTGGCTTGCAATCGCGGGGGGCTGGTTGGGCCTGTCTTCTGCATGTGGCTGTACAGTTTTCCCAACACCATTTGTTAAGAGACTGTCTGTTTCCCATTGGATATTCTTTCCTGCTTTGTTGAAGATTAATTGACCATATAGTTGTGGGTTCATTTCTGGGTTCTGTATTCTGCTCCATTGATCTACATGTCTATTTTTGTGCCAATATCATACTGTTTTGATCACTACAGCTTTGTAATATAACTTGAAATCTGGAACTGTGATGCCTCAAGCTTTGCTTTTCTTTTGCAAGGTTGCTTTGGCTATTTGGGGTCTTTTGTGATTCCATACAAATTTTAGGATTGTTTCTTCTAGCTCTGTAAAACATGTGGTTGGTATTTTGATAGGGATTGCGTTAAATGTGTAGATTGCTTTGGGTAGTATAGACATTTTAACAATATATGTTCTTCCAATCCATGAGTATAGAATGTCTTTGCATTTCTTTAGGTCATCTTCAACTTTTTTTCATCACTGTTTTATACTTTTCAGAATATAGGTCGTTCACCTCTTTGGCTAGTTTTATTCCTAGATATCTTACTGTTTGGGGGGGCACTTGTAAATAGGATTGATTCCTTAATTTCTCTCTCTGCTGCTTCATTACTAGTGAATAGAATTGCAAAAGTCTTCTGTACATTGCTTTTGTATCCTGTGGCTTCACTGAATTCG